AGAAAAGACTTCATGTGACAGAGTCGAAACAGGCAGGCTGACACAAAGGCATGGAACTGCCTCTGACTTCTGGGAGGCCTGTTTCAGCCTCCTACACTTTTGACCACAAAAAAACCCCAAAACAAACCATCTCCTGACATCTGAATCTCTCCTTTTGGTTTTGGGTTGTTTTCATTTTGGGGGTGATGGGGAAGTGTTCTCTCATCTCTTTACCTTACCCTACCTCCTGAAATCAATAGTCTTCTCAAAAAAATCTCAGCACAACCCTTAGCAGGACCTACACCAGTCTTCTCACTGGACTGAAGTGAATGTGATTTGCCTCTTCAAGTTTAAGTCTTCATAGCACTTAATGAACATCTTGCATTAATTCTTCTCATTAAAAAACATCAAAGTGCCTCAAAGAGTGTTCACAATGTCTCGTAGTATCACTCACTGCAGCTGTCTGGTCATTAATGGCCATCCCCAGGCATGGGATTTTAGAACAGGAAAAGAAAAACTGGGGAAGTCTCCAAAGACACATTCTCACAGGAACAGTTGCTGGTTTACATTTTTATGGTGACTGAATAGCACACAAGACTTTACACCAGATCAAGAGAGTGGCAAGTTCCACCTAAAACCACACGCAACCTCAGTTACGGAAAATAAATTTACAAGGTAGACTAGAAAGCGCATCAAAACTGAGGGAGTGGAAGGAGGGGACTGGGTCAAGGCCTTTAACAACTACAAATTTTGCCTATGGAAAAACATCCTTAAAATAACACGTATGTATTCCAAAGAGCAACCACTGACCCAAATGCCACAAAATTCTTAAGAGCCATGTAAGTGTTGAAATAGTTATGATTCATGTGTAACCCCAAATATTCAGGCATATAATTAGCAGAAAGGTAATTAAACATGAGCTAATTTCCTCTAAAGGAAAGGGTGGGGCAACATGATCCAAGAGACTCATGAACAGAAAATACAGAGCCATTAGCCAAGTTACAAATTAGGAAAGGAACATAGCTGCTGCCTTTGCAGAACAGATCATGTGAGTCTTCACAGTTTTAATCCGCGTCTTTCTTGCAATTAAGAAATTTCAGCTCTAGTAGTTGTTTCCTAGTACAAACAGTGCTAACTAATGATCCTGAGGAAAGAACCAGTCGTTAACTGTGATGACAGACACACAGTCTGATCAGCCACCTGAAAACAACTGCACTGTCTGGTGCTGTCATTTGGCAGGGGAAATTGCAGCCACTACTTAAAACCTCTGAAACCGAATGGCCACGAGGCTTCAACGCTCTACCCACAGGGCTGACTTCAGCTGGAAGATGCATTTTCCTACATCAGAACAGACCTTAAGCTATGGTTTTGTTTGTCCACACAAAGTTCTTAACTACTGCCCGTAGCGATGACCGCTCAGCCAGGAGCGGCACGTCTTCATGAATTAAGACTATGTCTCACCATCTACATGTGACTCATAACTGCACTTTTAAATGAAATCACAAGAAACATCTAAAAAACTGCTTTGTACTGTTCGACTGGGAACTCAAGTAAGAATATGAAGAGGATTAGCTAAAACTTCTAAGATTTCCTCAGAAACAGCAGTGATCAGGTTCTACATGCTCTGTGTTTTCTGCCAACGTGCCAACCACGCTCACCTGAATACAGATAAAAACTGTTTGCTACAACCTCAGAGAAAAACTTCTAAGTATCACTTTGTACCTGACTTGTTACTGACAGTGTTTTAATAGGACTTCACAAGCATGATTTTTAGGCCTAATTTAGGCCACAAATAGTCCATCATCAGAAAAAAAAAAAAAAAAAGCTTAATTTGGGATCATATAACAAACATCAGAAGGGGAAGGAGGGAGCTGTTCTAGGTGAGATAACACTGCAAAACCGAAATTAAATACCAGAACCATGGACTATCTTCAAGCTTATAATCATAGTTTGTTGTGTAAAGTTATCTTATAAATTGGTATAATTGGCTTTATATGCTATTCTTTCCTTCCGTCATGTGTTGGTTTGTTTTTTTGTCAGCAAAGCACTCCACTGAGTTACAATTCCCTTCCTAATCCTCCCCACTGCAAAACACTTGTGTAATCGTGTCCAGAACGCCAACCCATCCAATTCCTGGGCAAAGTACTGTTCCTGGAAAACACTGTCTGTCTGTGCTGACCCATCATTAGTCTCAAAGGAGTCTCGGGTAACTGGAAAACTCAGTACACGTCCCAGAGCACCAGCAGGAGGAAATGCCAACAGAAAGCACCCCTTCAAAAATAGTTTCCAGACTATGAGACTAATCAAGAAAAGCACGGCAAGTCGTGTCAGTAACAAATGTAAATCACAACTTCCATAACCCTTTTTCCAAAACTGTGCAGTGCCACTAATTCTCAGCACTGGGCCAGATCAGGGCCCCGCTCAGCCCAAGCAAACTCATTTGTTTGAATTTTGCCGGTGCCAACCCCCTCAGCTGACCCAGCACCCCACCACACAAGGGGCACTGTCCCTGCCACAGACCACAGCAGCCCAGATCTGCAGGATTTCGGACAGCGTGGATCTGGAACCACTCCCTCAGAGAGTTTTTGGGTGCTTGGAGTGCGTCATTCACTTCCCAATATCTCACACCCTCTGCAAAATACAGCCACTCCCTACTTCAAGGGAATGGGATGAACATGACACAAAGTGCTCACACAAACACCCACAAAAACCAACCAAAAAGCGCTGCTCAGCATCTTAAATATACTTCAGACTTCACTTGGCTTGAGTTTAAAGGACTTTGATCCCCAGTCTCACAATAAGAAGCCACAAAACAGTAACACTCAAAAGCAAAGAGCCAAAACAAGCAATTTAACAGGGAGACAGGCCGAGGGGACGGATTTGTGAAGTTATCAGTGACACCCTCACCAACTACTGGGACACAGATAGGGAATTAAAATAATAAAAATACATATTATAAAAACAACTTAGTTTTAGGAAGCGCACACGGAGGAAACCGTTTGACGAAGTTTCCCCGTGTCCCGGTGTGTTGAGCCTGACTGCGGTGTCTCCCTGAGGAGAGGGCCCGGCTATCCACCCCCCCACCCCCAACGGGCCCCGCATCACCGACACTTATAACGAATTATAACGACCGGCGGCGGAGAGAAGGAGGAAGAGGAGGAGGAGGAGGAGGAGGAGGAGGAGGAGGAGGAGGAGGAGGAGGAGGAGGAGGAGGAGGAGGAGGAGGAGGAGGAGGAGGAGGAGGAGGAGGAGGAGGAGGAGGAGGAGGAGGAGGAGGAGGAAGAGGAGGGGGGACGCTGACAGCCCCCGAGCTGTCACCGCGGGGCTGCAGGGCCCCCTCAGCGGGGCAGCCCCTTCACAGCCAGGCCCGACGGCGGCGGGCAGCCCCCAAGGAGGAGGGGAGGGGGAGGGCCCTACCGGCCCGCGGCCCCTCGGCAGGTCAGAGCTGCTGCTCACCGGTTGCCCCGGGCGGCGGGGGGGCGCGGCGGGCACCGCTCCGCTCCGTTGAGCTGGGCTGGTCTCTGCTCTCCGCTCCGTTCCCCTCACGGCGGCCCGGCCCAGCCCGGCCCGGCGCTTCCTCCCCTCCGCGGCGGCGGCGGAAGGGGGTGTCGTCACTTCCGGGGCGGGTCTGGGCGCGCTCCCGGAAGGACGCGAGGGGCCGGGTGACCGAGGAGGGGCCGGGCGGGCTGAGGGTCCCCGGTACTGCCGGGCCCGGGGGTTCCCTCCCGTTGTCCTTCCGTGCCCCCCCCACCCCGGAGCCCACCGAGCCCGCGCCAACCCCCAACTGCTGCGGTTTTACCTCAGAGCCCGGCCCAGGCGGCTGCTCGGAGCCGGTGGGTGCAGCGGAGAGAGAAGCAGCTGTTCTGATTTGAAACTTCCCCCGCTTCCCCTTCCCGTTTCCACAGCGCGGTGTCGGTGTCTGCAAACCGGCTGTCACGGGCTGGTTTCGGTGTCTTTTATTTTTCCCCCTCCCACGGCCCTACGCAGACACCCAGCCGCGGGGCGGGGATCCCGGCAGCCGGATTCCAGTTACTTCAGAAAGGAGGGGGAAATACCCCTGAACCCAGGCGGGGCAGAAGAGAGACCTCACTGCCCTCCACAGCTGCCCCAAAGGAGGGTGTAGGGAGGGCTGTTGGTCTCTTCTCCCAAGGAACAGGTGATGGGACAAGAGTGAGGACACTGGTGAGGCCCCACCTCAAGGATTGTGTCCAGTTTTTGGGGCCCCTCACGCCAGGAAAGACATTGAGGGGCTGGAGCGTGTCCTGAGAAGGGCAATGGAGCTGGGGAGGGAGCACAAGTCTTGTGAGGAGAGGCTGAGGGAGCTGGGGGTGTTCAGCCTGGAGAAAAGGAGGCTGAGGGGAGACCTTCTCGCTCTCTACAACTCCCTGAAAGGAGGGTGTAGCCAGGGGTGGTCGGTCTCTTCTCTCAAGGAAAAGGCAATGGGACAAGAGGAAATGGCCTCAAGTTGCACCAGGAGAGATTTAGGATGGATATTGGGAAAAAAGTCTCCTCAGAAAGGGTTATGAAACATTGGAAAAGTCTGCGCAGGGAAGCGGTGGCGTCACCATCCCTGGAGGTGTTTCAAACACCGGTAAACGTGGTGCTGAGGGACATGGGTTAGTGGTGGGTTTGGCAGCGTCAGGTTAACGGCTGGACTCCATGATCTGGAAGGTCCCTTCCCACCTGTAAAACCCGACGATTCTAAATCCCTGAACTGGTATTTCTTGTCAAGCTCTGCGCAGGCAGGTTCAGCCACAGCCCCCTCCGGGCTGCTTATGGAGGGAAGGAAGCAGAACCCAAACAAAGTGGCACCCGTCGGTGTCCCCGAGGAGACTGCAGCCACCGCGACGGTGCCATCTGCAGAGGAAGCGACGGGGAACGAGGGAGCGGTTGGTGCCGTTAAACGAAGCCTGGGACGGAGACCGGTGTCTTAATTGTTGTTTGCAGTCGTGCAAAGCAAACACCAATGACAGGGAAGGTGAGGAGGGGGGTGCAGACCAGGTTAGCCAGGTTCCCACAAGTTTCAGTATAACATACTTTTATTGCACAACACAAAGTTTATATCCACATTTGTCTTCTATGTACTTCAAATAAAAAACATAGACTATCTATTACCTGAACTGAAAAGTGAAACATAGTAAGAAGTAATACACTACGATACCCACAGTATTAAACATCACGCATCAACTTAATTAAAATAAAACACATTTGGAGATATTTCCAAACCCTGATCGTTAGCATCCAGGCTGGATTTTCAAAGGCATTACGGGTTACAATGCATAGACACATACAATTTATAATTCAGCAAAACAAAATCCATTTATAAAAGTCACAGTGGAAGTGTAGGTAAACTTACACTAAGCTTGTGTTAAGTAAAACGAGTAAGAACTGCTGTTCTGGAAAGTAATTTCCAGTTATAGGACTATATACAGAAGATAAGAACAGAACATAATCACACTCTGAAATCTAGCTTATTTGCAGAAAGATAATGAAAGACTGGAGGTGTTTTCTGTTAAATGAAATTATGTTCCCATAGCCCCAAACTCAGAACTATCCCAGGTCCTCTCTGTTGTGACTGAACAACCTGGAAACAATTCACAACCATTTGTAACGAAAGAGATCAACACAACTCCAATCATAACTTAAAGCCAGTGGGGTGTATAATTGTCCAGAGTATAATTATTAAATGAAGTGAAAGTAATATCAGGCTCCAGAGATTTATGATGAGTTAACAGACCATCTTTCCACATTTCCTTGCTTTGAAGTCTTCTCTTACCTGCCAGGCAGTTGCATCCCAAACTTGATTGCTCTGTTTGGCCACGCAGAAAAGAAAGATTCAACGCATAATTTGTGGCAAAAAGGCCCTCAGACCTCTAAATAACGATCCTGAAATTCAAGTAGTTTGAGCCCCGCAGCCACCTCACCCATCACTGCTGCATTTCCAGCACAATCCACAGCCACTGGATTTTCCCACTCATTTAGCTCGATAAATCTCAATACAATGAACTTACACAGAAAATTCATGAACGCGGTCGAGCTGAGCTGGGCTCCCAGACAGACGGGATCCTCACACAGCACAGGGGCTGAAATAAAAGGAAAGAACACTCTGCAATGCAAACACTCAGCTCTGACATGAGACTCTCCCCATTGGCACTTCCATCACCTTCCTCACCACGTACCCTGTCCCAGGTCACCTATAAACAAGAATGAGCGGCAAGAATAGAGTTGGGAAGGAAGGTTTCCAGGGCTGCAAATGCCAAATGAAGCTAGAATATTGTGACTTATAACTATATGAGTAATTCTTTATTTTTAAGGAAAAAAAGCAAACAGATGAGAGATCATGCACTTATCCTTCAGCTCACAGCGAGCAGTAAACGAGGCCCTCAAACCCCAAAATACAGGTGCCTAGCCTGAATACATACTACTATGAAACAGATGGAAGCCCTTAAAAGAAGTAAGAGTTTACATTTCTTAACAGTCTTTAGAAAAAAAAATAAAACAGAAGAGTGAAATTAAAATGATTATGCTATAAATAAGGTTTTTTGATTCATTTATTCACATATTTTTGTCAGTAATAAGATTTTTGCTGATTCTTTTAACAACTACCAGTGACCATATTGTAATATTAAAATAATCCCTTTAGTTTAAAGCAGACTAAGACGCCTTGCAAACAAATTTGAGGGTGCAGCAGAGAGAAGTAAAACACCTCCTGCACAGAGAGTGGTATATCTTAAAGGCTAGAGAAAGGCACGAGGACCAAGGGGGAATCCAGTCAGAGTCATTACCTCACTGTGACTCTTCAGGCTAGAGAGCTCAAGTCCTCACACCTCCTACACTTCACCTAACACATGGAGATGTGGGGGAGCATGGGTCAGGATCTCACCGAAGTTCTCCTTCAGAGCTGGTGAGGATTGTCCCTGGGGAAATACACTGCAGAACTGATTCCCTCCCGCTTTCATTTTTGCAAAAACCAGCACGTGCTCAATGCACAGAACAGACTAGAAAAGGGCTGTGTTCAGTCCTGGGGGCAGTGATCTGCAACCTCGCTCGGGTTTAGATTTCACTGGGAAAACACGGATAAACTGAGAACCATGAACAAAAGAACTGGCCAACCCCAACCTCTCCGCCTTTCACAGTTCAGACATTGGAACAGTCTGGCACAACACAGATTAGGGTGTTACAAAGCTATCACTTACAACAGTTTCAAACACCAACATCCTTCAGAGCTTGTTGGAAATTTAACCATCGCTTCAGGAAAGGCCAGAGTGTGTGCTCATGCAAATCAGTACATTTCTCACATGACAGAAGTCTTTGACTTTCACCTTCAAGGACTTGTGGAGCCAGACCCAACCCCGAGTGCTCTGTCTCCCTGCTGAAGCCACAGGCAGCCAGGAAGAGCAGAAGAACCGAGATGGCAACTGGATTAACAAGCACCAATTCCCTTAATGGGCTCATTGAGAATCAAGGAAGATTCTAATAGTCATTACTTTTCCATGTATTGAACACCTCCAGGATCAGTGATTGTACGAGATGGGAGCGGGGGATACCTAAGGCATAACCAGGTTTATCAGGAAACCAATGTCAAACTCACCCCTTAACTCTACACTAGGTTCAGGAAAGAGTATTACACAACTCAACAACAACAACAAAAACCTCAAAAATATCCGTATTAACCAATGCAGTATTTCCATATATTACATCATGAGGTGTCTCCCAGGCAGACCTCCTTAAAACTTAAAAAAAAAAAATCCATCAAGAAAGGGGTATGCAGAACTTTCTGCTGCAATAACTCACTGTTTTTGCTACTTGGATAACTAAGACCTAGAACTCCCCCAAACAAACCAAAGAACCCACACCCTCATCAACACAGAAACTGATCCCTCACTATAAATTTGGGCTAAAATCAGCTTTAAAAAAAAAACTTATCTAGCAGTATTAGAAAAAACATGCACCATGAGTACAAGCAAGAATCTGCTAACGGCTCAAAGGCTTTCCAGATCAAAGATGCACCTTGACTTTCCTCCAAAGAGGATGAAGGCTCAGCAATGAGCATTTCAGATGACTATGTATGTAGAGTATTGTGGTGTTCGAGTTCAGAAGCCTGCACCAAGTTGAGAAGTTATGTTAACTTTTTTTTTGAACTCTTGAAATCAACAGCCATTAAGTGGATGCTGCCCATCAATATCTTTTTGTGTCATTTTTGAGTGCTCTATAAAGATGAGAAGGTTTCCTTCCTATTTTACAAGTCTAGAACTGATGCAGAAACAATCAACATGCTGTGAAATTGGCCAAGTCATTTTATGTGAGACCCGACAGTAAGACCTCCCTTTGCTTCCTGTTAAAAACCACCAGACTATGCATATATAGAGGAGATGTTAAAAAGATTAATCTCGTTACATTTTTATTCAGACACATAGCAACCTAAAAACAATAGTGAACAATTCTACTTTTGAAGTAACTATCCCTCAACTGTCCCACTATTACCTCAGTATTCATAAAAACCAGAGTAATCACCACAATCTGTATATACAACCTGTGCTTTGAAAATATTTGAGATTTCTTATTTAGGAGAAAAGGGGAAAAAAAGGTTGATTCTAAGACATGTTTGTGTATATCAATTTGGAACCAAAAATGGCACGTATCCTGTCTCAGAACACCAAATAAAAAATGTCTTTCCTTCATTTTGAATGAGCTGAATGGACTGATGTGTGTTGTCCTTTTAATGATTTGCAAACACAATATTCATAGTGACATTCCACTGACAACCTGAGACCCTTGACTGCACGGCCAATGTGTCCATGGTGTCAGCCCACAAACACGGTATTTGGGAGTGTGGGGGTGGAAAAGCAGCTACAGAGATGACGATAAAGTGGCAAAAAAGCTAAGTAGAAGCACAGAGAAACAGGTAAGTACGTTCCAGCAAACCTCTGGCCTAGCCAGATACAAAGGAAAGTCCCAAATTAAAAAAAAAAGCACTATTACCTATGCATTTAGTTTAATTAGACAATTATAAAGCATTCATGATATATCAAAACATCGATCAGCTTAAACATGGATTTAGTAGATCAGCTACTCACATTTTTGTTGCAAACGCAGAATTTCAAAAATTACTCTATACGCCAAGAAAAGATAAGTCAATAATGTTATATAAACCAGTTATTAGATTACACTCTCCTGACATCCGCCTGCACAACTCTTCTGTTTCTGTCAAAAAAACGAACACATATTAGGCAATATCATCTAAATCGTTGTAAACAAAGACTGCTTAGAACAAGTGGAGTCAATAGCAATATTGTTAACTCGCACAAACCACGACACAGAATGTATGAGTTTGATGAAAGCATGTTGGCTCAAATCCACGTTTTCTTTTTTGATATTGCACTTAACATTTGCTGTCTTCTGGAGGATTTGAAGGATGAAAAGCTTCGATTAAGACAAAGCAACTGATACAGACCAAGATTTTAATTTTTTATCTTTTTGGTTAGGTAGTCTTCCTTACTTATTTACGCAATAAACAGGAAAAAGTTATAAAAATATCAGTGTGTGCATGTTAAGAAATAGCAAACATGATCGAAACACAAATTTTGTCATTATAGCTTCTCCAGAATAACAACAGAAAAATTCCAAAAGCCCAACCAGAAGTTATACTCTTAAATCAGATTCTGTTCCATTTCTGCAAGGAGTGCTGAAATTCAAACCAGAGTTATGTCCCATGGAAATATGTATCTGGGAAGGGGCAAAGAAACACCAAATAACCCACTAAAACTGCAATTCTCATTGCAGTCTCTAAATAAACTGATGCTGAAAATCCTCAACTTACATGTCTGAAGTGTACAAGCGGCCAAAACTTTGTAAGCCTCAGCTTTCAGACCTTATGTAATTTTATTAGAAATTGTAGTTTACAGTTTAAGATTCCCTGGAAAAACAAAAAAGAAGCCAGCAGAATAGTGAACACACCATGCAAGCTTCCTCTCAATTTAGGGATACTTTACTGGTCTCGGTTTGACTTAATTTTGGGTTGTCAAACACAAGCAGAACAACTCTGTGTAACACAAAGGCCCGTATTTAAGAAAACAATTTAAAATAACTTATAATAAGATCCGAATGCACATCATTTCTTCCTTCCCTCCATTTCAAAATTTAAGCTCTGGACTCGAAGCTCAGCACTTGACAATGATTCTCTGTCAGTAAACATTGGAAAAGAGATCATTAGAGCCGTATATCCCCACCTCAGAGAGACAATTTACTAAAATTTTCTAAATTAAATACATAAAAGTATGACAATGCAAACAATTTGCCTCTTTTTTTGCAAGACATTTTGATCATAAAGTTCCTGGAACTATTCTAAAAACTACCTCAGGTAACTGAGAATTTTGACCATGGCAATTAACACGCTTCTTAAGTGAAAAAGTCAAAAGTTTAATTAAGCAATATCTTTGGATTAACTAATCCAATGGAATGCAACATGCAAACATTTACTTTTCCTCTCTCCTTAGGATTGAGTGGGGTCTTTTTGAAAAATACTCCAGTTTTCTGTACCTCACAAAACAGTAACATCTTCAGATGTTTAGATCTACCTTTCAGTTTTGGACATGAAGAAATCCAACTTCAGGATGCAGTTACTAACGTCAGAAATGCAACAATAACCTTCTGAAAAGAACATGATTCTGCAATGGCTGCCTCTTCCAGTGTGGAAAGAAATCTACCAGCCAGACATACTGCTTTATAATTGGAGAAATTGGAGAAATATTTGAATATGGAGGTTGAAAATTCTTTTTCCTGATACTTCACCAGTATCAGGAAAGGATCAACAAGAACGTTAAAAATGAGACTTAATTGTCTGAAGAAGGTGAGGTGAAGGAAGCACTTGTCTAGTATCATCATCTGACTAACTCTAGAACAAAGTTTAGTATCACAGAATGTAAAAAGAGTTAGTAATAAAATAATATACATTAAATATTCCTCTTACTTCTGCTAATAGGAACATACATACAGGGTTTTCTCATTTACCAAAAGCCTTTGTAAATGACCTGATTCTATAGAGCTTCTGTTTTTTTGTAGATACTGTAAACATTTAGAATTTCTAAGGCTAAAAACAGGCACAAGTCTTCATGAACAGTTATTATTATTCCTAAAAGCATTAAGGAATATATTCCAAATCTGCTATTCCTTTTTATAACAATGGAAAGAATTGAAATATAATATTATAATTCACAACGCAGATTCATAATTAAAAAAGAAATATAGCTTCATCGTGACAACAATTAATAATATATAGGGAATACTATTTTTTCTTTAAATGATCTATTACATCAAAATCACATTTCCAGAATCTCTGTGCTGGGTGTTACTCAATTGTATAAAGTGGTAAGTTTAAGTAGTGACTAAAACATTTCTAAGTGGGTAAAATTCAACCACGTTACGTCAGCGTTATTAGCACCCCGGCTTTCCAATAACACGGGTGAGATCTGCAATATCCACTTTGCAGACAAAGCCACGTGGTGGGTGGCACCTTTTAAAAAGACGTTAGACGCTCCTCTCCACATTTTCCATGAGGTGATTTTGTTTTGTGCCTCGTGAAGGTACCTGAGCCAACAGTCTTGTTTCAGGCTGGTTTTTTCAAGATTTCAGAGGTTTTTTTTTTTCAACCTCTGCACCGGGTTCCCTTTTGCTGAGCAGCTAAGCGTTAGCCGACACGTCAGCAGACTGATTCCGACAGACGTTAGCAGCAATGCGTTTCCAGAGACAACGTTGCAAAAATTATTAAAAAGCAATTGTCGTCTAGAAGTCCTTTTATCCCTGCACCGTTCTGGCCAAAATAACTCACCACCAGGTAATCTTGAATTCATAGATAGGACGCTTGCAGTAATAGTGGTTTATCAGGTGTTTATCACACACCCCGATACACTGATGATCCACCGTTATCCCTCTGTCAGACAGGTCTGTCACGATACAGTGCAGAAGATCATAGACATCAGCTACAGCCTCCCAGGGGCCAAAAGATACATCGACTTCGCAGTGATGCTCAAACAGCTTTGTCTCGCTTTCGCTCCTTTCGAAGCGTAAAGAATTGAAGTGTGGGCATTCGTAGGGAGTGATGGGCATCTCTTCTTTGAAGACACAGACCTTCAGTTTTGCAAATCTTGCTTTTCTTTGCATAGCTCTCAGCTTTGCTATTTCGATTATCCGTTCCAAATGATCTAAAAAAAAAAAAACAAACAACTTGAAAATAACTACGAAGCACCTAGTGAAAGAAAACAAATGCAATTATTTAATGTGAAACATATTACTTCAGTGCTTAACAAGTTATTCTTAACATAATACCATCAGCAATGGGAAGCTGCGTGTAGCTAGATATACAGTAATTAAATCAATCTCTGTTATCTTGTGACTTAGTGTCTTTACTATATGCCCAAATTTATTCAAGTGCAGGCCCTAACAGAACAAATGCAGAGGCAGAAAAACATTCTCATTTAATAATAAGCTTTGCATGTTGTGGCCTAGATCTTGCTCCCTTTTAAGACAGCATAAAAATCCACATCCTTGGATACAGCAGGAACAAATCCAACGTGGAGACGTCAAAGATCTAAAGAGCACGAAAGGTACATAATAAACTTCTCAAACACAATGGCATTAGCCCGAAAGCAGAAAGCAGACCCGAAAGCACCATGTACACTACTTGAACCACGCTAGAAGAAACAGTCAATACTACTTTGTTTATTTACCTTTGTAATATGGCATCAGGCCCAGGAAAGCTTGTCTAACTTTTTCTCCTTTCAGAGGCTGGATATCCTCTAGATTGTCTAGCAATGGTCCTATGGAATAATACTGTGCTTCCTTGTAAACTGACCTCACTCGCTCTCTTGGCGGCAGGTCACCAGATCGTAGAAAGTTAAGTATGTCTCTGAAAAAAAAAGGCAAAAATACTATTAAGTAACAAGTTTCCACCAGAACTGCTGCAGGTGGGAAAGGTGAGAAACTGCTGGATATTCATTGCTTATACTATTACGATAGAAATCTTTACGTTTAGACAGTAGCTGAAATAACCATGAGTCATATTTCCAACATATGTTTCTAAAGGCATTAGCCACGTTCAAGTTTCCAAGTCATCATTTCACATTTTGCTTCTGTTAATGTCAAAATTAACCCAAAAAACCCCATCAACATTTAAACAAAAAGTTCAAGGTGAAGTAACCACATAAAGTAGAAGAGGGGACAGTATTTAATGGAAGAGAGATTGTAGTCACTGTATTTCAAATTTAAGTCTGTGTCAAAATCGTTTCCATTTTCCTAGAGAATCGTATGCGCGGACATTTTATCCCACACAGAACCAGGATTCAAGCTGAACGCATGGTCTGTCTGCAAAGGAGGTGTTCTCTTCACAGGGCCATATACACTTGTTAGAATAATAATAGAGAGAGAAAAAACATTTCCTTCTAGTTCTGAAAGAGTTAAGTGGCCAGATTTTCAACAGGGAAAGAAATCACTTTATAAGCATTAACCAACAAAATTATTATTGACCATATCAAATAAACCAAGCATTACTGCAATCTTCATTAGAATGTCAACAATTACAGCACGTGCTAACTTGGCGCTCTGTTCTAGCTGTATTTTTAATTCAGATTGATAACATCACAAATGAATTGATTTTCCAACAAAGCGCCACGCACTTCCAAATTGCCAAATGTAAAGAAACAATTATTTTCCAATATACACAGTGACTTAATCTACTTCTGTCCCAGATCATGACATAGTCCAAATATGCTTTGGAAATAATTCAATCCTTCGCTGTTGAAGAGATTAAGGAAATGTCTACAAAGGAGAAACAAGAAATGTAAGTTAAACTGCAAAGGGTGCTTTGGGCAAAGACCTTAACCCAGGAACACTGCTTACCTTTTCTAGCAATCTCACACCAATTCAAACAGAATATTAGTAACATCATGGTTAGATTAATTAAAAATAAAACAAAAGCTTCAAGAAGGAATCTTGAAGGTGAAGGAATATGGCTTTACCATCAAAAATAATTTTCAAAAAAATACTCTTCGAGGCTTGTGGTTTTTTACCAGTTACATTATAACCTGCTTAAACACTGAAAATGTCATACTTTTAACGGTTTAAGAAACCTAGATGCATTCCTTCCACTCCCTCTTTATCATAAATACTGTAATATCAATCAAAAACAGTGTTGTACAAAAGAGCTTCCCATGAAAAGCAATGCCAAATATATTATTTTTTAAAACATCAAAACGACTTTGATACCTTGAAAGGAGATACTCTAGAGGAGACAATGCACCCATTCAAAACATTACTTGTTTTTCTTTTCCCATTGAAAACTTAAGCCCTTAAGAATAAAACAAATAGTTTTTTAATCTCAGTATGATCCTCTCCTGAGATGTTTCGAAGGCGTGGATGCCAGTCAGCCACGTTTACCTAGTACACAAACATGATATAACTAGAAGGAAAAAAAAAGAATGTTAAAACTTACTTTTCTTTAAAAATAATTTTCTTCAGTAGCAACTTTTAAAATATACAACCGAGGACACGGTACCTACCCAAAGTAGGTTCCATCTCTGTCAATGAAGTATCTGCCTTCAGCATCTGTTGGAATATAGTGTCTTCCACTGAACATAGCCGCCAACATTGTGTCCTCATAACGTCTCAGCGTTGACAGTCTTGTTGTAAAATACATGCCTCCTACGTTTAGTGGAACAACTTCTGGAAACTGCAAATGGAATCACATCACCAGAAATGAGCCTCCAGTCCTTTGCAGACATGTTCAGGCCAAATGGGTTACAACTTCTAGAAGACACAGGAAACACTTCTTGCCACTAGGACTTAACTTGGTCCAACAAACACTTCTTTCCCGGCCTGTTGCCACACAACAGTGAGGTTCAAGGGTTAACAACCTGAACACTTTGGCTGGCTTTTGGGTACAATGAGTGAATGTTTGAATTTTATTTGGAAATCTGAAATAGCAGTAATCACTCAGCTTTATTACCAGCTATTCATTAAAAGCGTGAATGCTTCCTCTTGGCTCTTTCAGGGACAGAAAACAACAAACCAAAACAAATCCCTCCCTCCCTCTTCCACACTCATAAACAAACAAACAAGGTAGGAAATCTCAGTCCAACCTTGGGACTTGCACTCAGTTGCTACTCTACTGGTTCCTTTACACTATGCTACACTACTCTACACTGAAAAAACCCCAGTGACTCTGTGTTTACATTAGGTTTACAGCAGGCCTAAAATCTTAGTATCACACCTTAAGATGCCTCGTTACCGGAACAACACTTACTTGCATTTGTAAAGTCCAAACACGAATGGAAATTCTGAGTAATGCTGCCAAGCTACTGAACTAAAATTCATGAGATTTAGTTTTATTCAGCCATTCAGCCACTAATGGAAACTGAACTGTATATCCATCGATACTCCAACAAAGAAATCCCCAATTCTTTGGCACCTGAGCAGTACGTGCTGCAATAACTGGACCTTATCAGATGAAGAGTACCAGAGAGCTCTTACCTGCTGAGGCAGCAGAGGTAGTGCTTGTCCTGCCTGGGTTGCAGTAGGAGTGGCTGGCTCTTGGAAATCATCCTCTGCATCCGAGCTCGACATGGCATCATCCGGGTCTCCACTCACTTTGTTCTGCCCCGTAACTACCACCATCCCTCTGGCTCTCGTAAGCAGGTCTGCTGGGTAGGCAGCCGTGGCAATGCTAAATGGGAAACCAGACCCAAATTACTCTCCCCTACCAGCTGCGGAAGATCACGTGGCAGGCGAGGCACGTAACTCCCCGGCTTCACACAGATCATTTACAATGGCATCGTTAGCGCTGGGAAATGAATCACGGCGAGGATGACTATGGTGCTGAGAAACAAACCGGGAGAGAGGGTTTGCGGAGCCGTACCAAGGTCCAGCAGTCACAGAGCCCCTGCCAGTGGCTGGGTAAGAGCCCGGCGTCCATTGGCTGTGCGGTGCGCTGCGTGATTGGCTCCGCTTTTGATTTGCTGCTTTTGCAGCAAAATGTCATTTGCTGGGTGAATTTGGGTGGCTGCCGTTCCAGCCCGTCCATCCCAATAGGCCATCGGCAGGAACACAGCCCGGAATGCGGGTCCTCATTGGCCCCGCACGCCGGGCAACACCCCGCTCTCCCGCTCCCGGGCTGTCACCTTCAGCTGCAAAAAGCAGCCGGGACCCCGCTGGGCACAACCAGAGGCACCGCAAAGGCTCCCTGCTCACTTCCAGCCTCTCCTGATCAAGCCAGAAAATCGAGCTTTTTAACCAGAGAAGAGAAAAGAGGCGTTTTCCCGCCCTCCGCATCCCATCGCACTGGACACAAACTGAGACGCACGTCGTTAACTCCGCGTATTATATTATGTGTTTACTGCTAATTATCCATTTCCCTTCCTGCCCAGAAAAAAGAATCCATCGCAGCCCCAGCTACAGCGCTCTCCCCACTTTAGTCCATCTTCAACCAGAGGGACTAACAATAAACTGCATTATTGAAAGAGCAGAGTAGGAAAGCCCAGAAACCCCGCTGTTCCCTTTACGCTGCATTCTTATGTAAACATCTCTGTTCCCAGGATTGCTGTGGTGTCTCCAGTGGCATCACAACATCCTAACCAAGAAATTAAACCGCCAGGAGGTTTTATCCAGCTCTTTAATCCTGTAAACTCCTTGTCTCACATCGCTCTAAATGACAAAAAGGGAAGGGATATTGGCACAAGCGGATCAGGTGTGTTTATTTATTGACTAAATGCTTCATAAAGGTTGCTTCCAATCAAAATCGACACGCAGAAATGACATAAAATTTTAATAGCCATGATTAATTATTCTGCCTTACTAATTCTGCTAATACAGTCATTATGCACACTGTCAGACTATCTGTAGATCTCAGCTCTCAAAGGAAATGCTGCAAATTCAAAACAAACGCAGACAGAGCTGGGATGCTCCTGCCCAAAACATACTTCAGGGAGCTAAATGGGTCAAAACCTCCACACTCTGTGGGAGGGAACATTGTCTTCTTTCCCCAACATTTGGGGCTGAATCCTAGATCCTGTTTAACACCCCAATAAGCCTGGATAAATAGGTACCGTGAAGTTTCAAAAATTTCTTTTCAAACTGCAGCTCGTTAAGAGGTTTGTCTCGGCTCAAGATAGGTATTTAAGTTCTCAACTCTACAGTTCAAAAGCTGGACTTTCACTTCATAATCCCTTTTTCCACCACAGTACAATGCACAGGCAGATAAATAAGGACAGAAAGGCCTCTCAACGGCCACAACCTATTAACAATTTTAATATTTGTCCTGAAACAACATCTATTTTGACATCATAAATCATCTAAAGAAGTCAACTATACCTCACAGATAAATAACATATACAACAGAAATGAAAGACTATTTTAGTAGGGACTCCTTTTAAGGAGGTAAACAAATTATCACCAAGACACAGCTTGTAGAAGCTTCATTTATAAGATGTATAGTCAAAATTGCCTGTGAGGCTGTATTTACTGTCAATTATTTATAATGCTGCTACTTAAAACCAGTGCTTTGACTGCTGTATTCCCAGTTCTCTTAAGGCTATTCAAAAGAATTCAAGACTGACCAAAAATGTGATCTTTAATTGTCCACATTTTTCATTTTTCAAGAACGTCCCATGGCTTTCAAGTAAATGGAGCATATACTCAGAATAAACAAAACTCATCTCCATTAAGCTTATCAGGATCCTGGCCACAGAATGTGTTTTGGGTAAGTTCATCCATTTGGCACTGTACCCAAAAGGCCCTCTTTCCCAGCAGAAGTAGAGGTTTAGGAAAAAGGAATAATTCTTCCTCTTTCATAATCCTCCTTCAACATGACACTAGGAAAAATATGACACCATGTTTTTAGGAAAAAACCATGAGAGAATAGGTTAATTATGTTATGTTCACACACAGCAACCCCCTAAATAGTGAGGTTTAGCATAGAAGCTCTCAGCCCATAATTAGTCAAGGATTTCAAGAATGAGATTAGTGGCAGTAAAATGAAGAGATTGATCATTGACAAGTTTAACCTGTTTTTTGACGTTCATTAAAAGGTATAGAAGTTCCTCTCTAAGTTTGCTTCACTTCCTGTTCATCCACAGACACAGAGTAGTGAAACAGCAGTATCCTGACTGGAATAGAGCCTTCCTAAAAGAAAAACACAAGCTCATCACTGGTCAGTTTTCTGACATACAATCTTCTGCATTTCAGTTCTCTTCACTCCATGGGGAATACGCACCCACTTGAATATCACCTCCACCTAAAGCATGTGCAATAATTATTAGGAAGTAGGCAGAAAAATATTTCTCCGTCAAATCTCACGCTAATGTTACAGGGTTTGTTTTGTTTATTTAAACTAAGTAAATGTATCCATTTCATTTTCAAATGCGTCTCAGGCCAAATCAACAGATCATTAATCAGAAAACATCATCACTCAGCAAAATGAGTTCTACATCAAATATTTAACTGAATCACACGTCAGCACCATCCAACTCTACCAGAAATACCTCCTTCCAGTTGACAAGCTGCCTGTCATTTAAATGGCAGAGATTACTTCCCGGAGCTTTGTTATCAACAGTTCAGATGCTTCTCACATACACACACCAAAGAAAGCTTACTGAATGAACTGGACCTGCAAGCTTTGCTTCATTCCCTAGGGAATGGTAGCAGCCCTAGAGGTGCATCGAGTTTTACTTGATGCCAAGATTCAAAAAAGCTTTTCAAGACTCTGCTGTTCCCTCAACTTTTCTCTATTGTTTTAAACAGCTTCTCTTAAATGCTTTCTGAGGCTACACCGGTGTTGGCAAAGTTACATACCTGTAAAAAATTGACATAATGATTACACGGTCAAATTCTTTGTCATCAAGGTACTGATGTATGAATCCATCACAGAAGACCCACACAAACTGCTACTCAAAGCCACCTGATAGGAATGTGCTTGTTTTGGGGAGACACCAACCAGGTTGCCAGGAAGGCTCTCCTTTTTCAAGAGAAACTGAGTCCCCGTGAGGACACAGAATGAGACGTGACAGCCATGTCTCCATAGCATTCTTCAAGAGACTCAGATGTGTGAACGAAGTAGGAAAAGACAGGACATCCAGTTAATTCTAATTAATCCGTGTGAGAATAGTGAAGAAACATCTTGAAAAATGGTAGGGATCCCTGAGCTGCAGGAAATTGTATTTATATATTTGAGTGTAAAATTCTGGACATACTCAGCATCTCTAGTCATTAGCAAAGAATCACAGAATCATAGAATCGTTCAGGTTGGAAAAGACCCTCAGGATCATCGAGTCCAACCATCAACCCTACTCTACAAAGTTCTCCCCTACCCCATATTTCCCAGCACCACATCTAAATGACTCTTAAACACATTCAGGGATGGTGACTCAACCACCTCCCTGGGCAGCCTATTCCAGTCTCTGACCACTTTTTCTGTGAAGAATTGTTTCCAAACGTCTAGTCTAAACCTACCCTGTTGCAGCTTGAAGCCATTCCCTCTTGTTCTATCGCTAATTACCTGTGAGAAGAGACCAGCACTGAGCTCTCTACAATGTTCCTTTCAAGTAGTTGAAGAGAGTGATGAGGTCTCCCCTCAGTCTCTTCCTCAAACTAAACAGCCCCAGCAAGGGGACAACAAGGACAACACAGAGTGTGATGAAGGGATACTGTAAATTAACTTCTGCATCAAAGAGCGAAGACACGCCATATGGGAGGACACGATGGGAAACATCACCGCAGCGACCTTCTTGGGTAGGAAGAAGACAACAAGGAGGCCGAATGACCAGCAGAGAAAGACCACCCACTCTATACAGCCTGGCAGCAACTATTTTCTTACACAGAATTTTACTGCACTCACAAGTCTTTATGAGCTCGAAACACCCTTCCAGTCTCACCACCACGAAGAGTGGAGGCACCGTCCTGTCCATGGACGGGTCAGCACAGGCCCAAGGGAGCTCGGAAACTGAGGCAGACGCCTGGGTAACCCAGGTGTCCGGTGAATTAACGATTCACTAAGCAGTTATATATTAACTGTCCCCTAGCACCTTGCTAGCTCCTTCTAAACAGCTTGAACACTAACGGAATTCACCAGAAAGCGCCTGTAGATGCGGGAGCTGACTTTCTGTGGTGCGACCGGCGAAGGCCGGGGTCCTGCCGCGACCCCACCGCCGGCCCCGGGCCGGGCAGGGACTGCCCTCAGCCGCCGCTGCAAAACCGCCCCTTGACGGCTCCACCGACACCCTCCCCTTCCCCCGGCCGGGCCCGACCCGCGCTTCAGCCCGGTGCCGCGGGGTTTTCCCGCCCCTCACCTGACAGGGCGCCGGTGGCCGGTGAACGGGCTCATGCCCCCTGCCGGGCCGCGGGGGAAGCGCCTGCCGCCGCGTCTGCCGCGCCCGGC